TATATATATATATTGATTTAATAATATATTATATATAATTATAATTAAGTTTAAATTGTAGCAGTTTGTGTGTTTGCGCTTTCTATTGCACAGAAATGATGCATGTTTGAATCCAACACCCCACATCTATTTTTTTAATTAATTTAAATGAGCCAATTTTGGGGTGGACATAAACATTTTTTTACGAATAGTTTCGAATACGAGCCAATTTCGAACTTGAGCCAATTTTGAACGAGCCGAACACAAGACAAGTCTAAGCTCACTCAAGCTCGACTTGTTTACAACCTTGGTTGAAGCTCTTTTTATGTACGACCATGCTTTTTTTCATTAAGATATATAATTTAGTTTTATTTTAAGCTAAGAGTTATGTTGTGGAATGATTTTTTTTTTTTTTTTTCCTCACCTCTTTAGTTTTAACTTAGTCTCATGAGCTAGATGATAAAGATTTGTTTAGAGATAATTTGAAGATCACGAGTGAAAACTAATTTTATTATGTTGTTGAGTAAGTTACAAAATAGTCCATTGACTAATTAAATGGGATCATTTTAGTCGAGAGTCAATAAAAGTGCCAAATTAGTCCTCAAGATTTTATAAATTTAGGGTAACATAGTCCCTACAGAGGACTATTTCAGTCCATATTAAAAAATCTTGGGGATTAAATCGAGACTTTTATGTACTCTTGGACGAAGATGACCCCTACAAAGAGTAAGAGGATTATTTTGACACTTTTTTATTATGATATTATTTTATGTCATAGCTTGCATCTAGAAGGAAGTATTTTCTTAGAACTCGATTTATTGTTGTGTTAACATCAACAATTGTGGTATAGCCTTGATGCCATGGTTAAATAAACAATTCTTGTAGCATATGACCAGGGAGTCATTGTTAAGTAATTTATTCTTGTGGTATATCGAAGAGTTTATATTTGTATACTCCCAGTAAGAGAATAAAACAAGTTTCAGTTAATGAGAATTTAACTAATATGATGTTTTGATAATGTGCTTCAATTAAAAAAATGTTATAATTTAATATTGCCTCATGCTAGGTTCATAATCGTTGAGGTTGTTGCTTTGGCTGAATTTTGAATCATTGGTTATCTATTGGATCTTTTAAACTGATTGTATTCTGCAATTAAGATTCAGTAATTTTATGCATCAACATGACATAATATATATTGAGCTTCACAATCCATTTGATTGGATACTGTGGAGTAAAATATAACCTAAGAGCTTTAAGCCACTATCTAAGAAATAAGGTTTTCCATCATCTAGCTAAATATATTGTCTTCAATTATTTGAGTGCTTCATCAGTACTTGCTGAATTTGTCGAGCTTTTGTGTTCTCGAGTTGTTAATGTATACATAATTATCGCTGAAGCATCACCTTAGATCGTATCAGGAAGATCTATCAGGCCTTCCCAAAGTTATCAATGCCACAACACCTTATAGATCATGATGATGATGACATGGAAAAGCTATCTGAAGCCTTGGTCGCAGCCAAAACTCGTGTTGAAGCTTGTTCTTCGTTCTTGAAATCTGCAATCAGGTGTGTTGCTTCTCTTCTCCAACAATTAGTTTTTGATGTGTTCTCTATTTTATTTAGGTTTTGACACCCCTCGTACTTTGAGGATGGTACTTGTATATTGCTAAACTTTTTTTCTTTGGGCTAAAATGTGACATGTGCTTTTTTTTATTTATTATTTATTCTTTAATTGGGATACATAACATTATATAAAGCACTCAAAGAATTATATATATTTTTTGAAAATAAACAATCTTTGAATTTGATAGAAACCACCGTAGAAATTAGGATAAAACAAATAATTTCACTAAAGTAAAACAACACAACTCAAATACATAAACGATAAACACCAACAATTCGAGAGCCAAACAATCTCTCCCAAATCCTACTATTTATGGGATAGAAAATCTCATATAAACCCTAATCCTAAGTCTCCAGACGTAATCTCTTGCATAACTATAACCCTAAATATATTAACCCTATTTATACTCAACAATAATTATAATGAAAGATTGAATTACCTTTAGACTAATAAAAGACAAACCCTTAGGCACCGACGTAATAATTCTCTCCTTCCAAAGAAGCACCTTGTCCTCAAGGTGGATAAAAGGAAACTGCTGTTGGATCAAGCTTATCTGTCTCCTTGTCACACATTGTGGGAATCTGTAACAATTGAGTTCATCACACTGAAAACATAACCCTTTTGCTCGTTTCTCCTGAATTTTTGTCTTTGTAAGGCGTTTGAACGCCGCTCTCGTTCGTGTCTCGTGGAGTTAGTGGTGTAAATGAGTCGAGCCGGTTTGCGACCCGGCTAAGCATGACTTGTTAACGAGCTAAGAGCCTAGCTTATTGAGCCACAAGCTTGAGCTCGAGCTCAAGTCTTAGCTCGTTCCTACTTAGCTCGTTGGCTCGCAAACCGACTCAATTAGCTTACCTCTAGTCATTTCGATTCATTTTCTGGTGAGCTGCCATTACATTCTCCTCTGACCACCAATACCTTTTCTTCTGACCATCAAGTTGTTCTCTTCATTGATACCATGCTTGAGCCTTTCCTTCAAAATTTTTTCACTTGTGCGCAAGAATCTGGATACTATGATCCTGTTGCTAGCCTTTCACAATTGGAATTCCTTTACGTTGCAGATCCTTATTGCAAGTTTTGACCGCAAGTGGTGTGAAACTTCTATGCGCCGCGTTCTGTCAACTTCCCTGTGGTTGTTTCGTGATTGTAGTTAGTACCTTGCGATCTCGTCATAGGCTTCCCAGGTAGGAAAAAAATCGTGATTTTATCTGCATATGTACTTGATCCTGGCCTCGTTGTTTGCTTCCCAGCCATCTAGAATCTTAATACACCGTGACTTCCCCATCCAGCTAGAATTACAATTATTTCGCTAGGAATTTGTACGTCGCGACTTTCCCTTCTAGCCAGAATCGTGATTTTATCTGCATATGTACTTGATCCTGGCCTCGTTGTTTGCTTCCCAGCCATCTAGAATCTTAATACACCGTGACTTCCCCATCCAGCTAGAATTACAATTATTTCGCTAGGAATTTGTACGTCGCGACTTTCCCTTCTAGCCAGAATCGTGATTGTATCAAGATCGTTGGCTTCCCAGTCAAGTAACGACTATGTTGTAATCTCGTTTCTGTTTTATTTCTAGAGATCTTGAGCTCGATACCAATTTGATAGGAATTGCCGTAGACATTAGGGTAAAGCACATATTTTATTTCACCAAAGCAAACCAACACAACTTGAATACTTAAAGGATAAACACCTACAATTCAAGAGGTCTTTCCCTAATCCTACGATTTGAGAGGTAGGAAATATCTCTTGAAACCCAAATCTAAGACTCCAAACACATTCTCTTGCATAATCCGAACCCTAAAAATATTAACCATATTTATACCCAACAATAATTGTAATAAAAGACCAAATTGCCCTTAGAATAATAAAAGACAAGATTGCCTTTAGACTCCGACATAACATAATCCTGCTTCAGCTTGGATTTTGTTTGATTTTTTTGGGTTAAATAGTTGGAGTTTTTTAATCATATTTTCTATATTCAGAACGAACTAAATGTTCCTTGGTTTCAAATTTTTTTTAACCTTCACCTGGCCTGTAAAAAAATTGAAGATTTAGGGGTTGTTTGGTTTGTTAAAAAGAAACATAGTATAAAAAAATGTATTGTATTTGAAACACCTTGTAATTGTTTGATTCAGCTTAAAATAAATGCACGACTAACAAATTTTTTTTGGGTTTGATAAAAAAGAACTTAATATAAAATACATCTAGCGGCAACAACGACCAATAGGTTTGGCATCGGCGACTGACAGATGGCGAGTGGTAGCAATGATGGGGACAACTAAGAACGCGGAGTTTGGCGCTAGGCGGTCGTGGCCGGTGATAGCGGTGGGCAGATTGTGGAGATCTACGGCAAGGGCCAATGGTTAGCCTGTGCTTGGTGGCTGGGTGATGTCCTATGGTGGTGAGGCAGGGAGCAACAACTAGCGTATGGTTGGCGGCAGACTAGGTGGGGGGGTTGTTGTAGCTGTCGGTTTGCAGTTGGCGGCATGTGGTTGCGGTTGCGGCCCCTTTTGGTGGCAATAAGGGCTGTAATTAACAATGTGCTTCGAAGTTATTTAAACTTGACGAATTCCAAATGCACCAGTTTTGAATTGTAGGGTCAATAGTGATTCCAAATTGACCAAAATTTTACATTGCATTCTGTTATCCTGCAAACATATGACAAACTTTAAAAATCGCTGCATTTCATTTATTTTACATCAAACCAAACAATCTTTGAATGAGGACTGTAAAAGATTTTAAAGACAGTACTTGGATTATGATGTTATATAGGTATCTATAATTAAAATTTAATTTGGTTTTGTTAATGTTTTTTTCTTTTCTCTTAGATTTGGTAGAGTTTCTCCTATTCTATTATGCTTAATTTTTTGGTAAGGTTTGCTTTGGCTTACAAATAGTTTCATTGTTGGGGTTATGGCTATTTGCAGGCCTCTATACTTCATTTTTTATTGAATACGAATAATAATTTCAAAATTTTGTAAACATGGATAATTGTTTACTCTATTTTGCATGGGATCACATATAACCATGACCTTACTCTTGTTTTTGTTTTTTGTTTCTTATTCTCATTGAATGGGTCCAAAATACAGTTAGCTCAAAACTCCAACTGTACTGTGCATTTCTCAGCTAGCTTTTTCATTTTTCTTATTTTCTATGGTTAATGGTTTTGTATATGACTTCATTTTGTTAATGTGTAGTATTTCTTCATCTAATGAAGTACAACTACATATTTCATTGACGATAACAATCATGTAATGATTTCTGTTATGTCGCTTTTTTGGTATCGTGTGAAGTGCCAAAAATAGTCCTTTGATTTTTTCGTGCGGCTGTCTTAGTTCCAAAATAGTCTCTAGATTTTTTAAATTGGCGCTCTAATGGTCCTCCATAGGAACTATTTCAGCCCCAATTTAAAGAGTCTAGGGACTATAGTGATATTTTTTTAGACTCTGAGATTAAAATGATCCCATGTAAACAACTAGGGTACTATTTTGGCACTTTACTTTTTCATATTGTCATTTTATTCACATATACAGATTTTTAATTTAGTTGTTTGCTTGTCCTTCGTTTCCCAGCTTACCTTTTTTATCAGTAAGGTTTTATGGCCAAGTAATTTGATCTAATTAGTTATTAACATAGCTTTTAAATTTACGTTATAATAGCTATTCATGCTGTATTGTTAGTTTGCTGTATTTTCTAAATGCTTCTCTTATAGGTGGTCTGCGGAGTATGGGGCTTCAAAAAGTGGCTTCCCTGAACTGCACTATATGTTGGCGGATTACGTATATTCGGAATCACCTGAGCTGGTATGTTTAGTAAGGCCATTTTCTGAGATTTGACAATACAGGTGTATTAAAGGATCTATATGTTATTTTTCAAATAAAGTGTCAACATAGTCATCTGACTATTTACATCATGTCATTTTAATGCCATAATCTAAAAAATTGTCAAAATAGTTTCTTATTCTTGTAATATTGGCTTAAATAGTGTCCATGCAGGGTTATTTCAGCCCCTGTTAAAAGGTTGTGGGACTAAATAGACACTTTTATAGCTTATAGGACTGAAAAATATTCAGGGCACCATTTTGACATTTATTTGATTATTTTTCTCAATTCAAATAAAATGAATGAATTAGCGATGCTACTTACCCCCAAGATCACACTAAAAACTACAAAAATGCTAACGAGAGTTGCATATTATTAAGAAATAAGCAAAGGTATTTATTCAATGTGGTATACAATCTTTAACTCTCTTCTTGTTCATATTAATACTCTGAAAAAACTCTCAAGAGTCTTGCATTTTCTTTGCACTAGAGGGGAGATATATATACATCTCTCATTATCACAATATGACTCGGGAGCTTGCAATACCAATGCGGGAAATGGATAGTTGTGTAGAGGAAACTACCTAAAACATTTTCATTTATTAAACAAAATCATCCAACATATAAAAGAGATCCATTACATTAATTTATGTTTCAAAGCATTTTTTCATATTTAAAATTTTTATAAAGTGTAAAAGCCCAAAATAGTCCCCCGACTATTAATAAGTGTCCAATTCAGTCCCAGAGTTTTAGGATGCTTCAATTTAGTCCCAGACTATTAAAATTTGCTCCAAATTAGCTGTAATCATATTTTTTGTTAAATGTAACATGATCTACATGAATTGAAGGGTATTTTCATCTTTTATGTAATTATTTGTAAATATATCTAGCATAAAATTACTGCATATGCTATTTGGTTGAATTTATGTTGAATCTTGCTTAAAAACTAATTAAATATTGCTCAAATACAATTAAAAGCAAATGTCACAAAATCCGAAATCTCATTTCTCCACCATTTTTTGTTTTTAAATCTGATTAAATAATTTATTTTGCGACATATAGTATATTTTTCTTCGACAATTACTCATCTCTGCAAACTTATAGTGTCGTATTTACCTGGCTAGAGTCACAACTTCTCCAGGTTGAACCGACGCATGTTGAAGCAGTCTCTTTTTTGCAATTAACGATGGTCGAGGAGGATGCGCTAGCTCTTGGATGGAGATGAAGCCTTATCGTCGATGCAAGCACCGCTAATGAAGACAGATACATAGACTGTTTCGTCGAGTGGAGAAGCAGCGAATGAGTACTTGCCTTGATATGCTTCGTCGACGGTGAAACAGAATGATAGAAGCCACGCTTGGATGGAGACGAAGCATTGTCATCAACGCAAACAACACAGACGGAGAGTGGAGAAGCAACAAATAAGTACGTGCCTTGAGTTGCTTAATTCGTCGATGTTGAAACAAAATAAGAGAAGCCGCACGAGTGGAGCAACTATGATTTAGGTTTAAGGTGAGTATGCTTTGCAAATGAATTCTCCAGTGAGAACTGACGGGCTCTTCATGCGTTAATTCGTGAATTTTGAAAATAGACATAACTACCCTTCAAAATGTGAAAGGCGTTGTTAAATTGAAGGGAAAATTTTATTTAGGACCAATTCAAAATAATTTTTAAAAGTCGGGGACTAAATGGGAGCATTTTAAAAGTCGGGGACTAAATTGGATACTTATTAGTAGTCGGGGGACTATTTTGGGTTTTTTCTCTTTTTATAAATGAATAAAACTAAAAGCTAAACTTTAGTATCTCTCTCAGAGCTCCTCGACGTCTGCATACATGCTCCCTATAATTTATTTATTCTGTAATAGATTTTCCTGAAAAATGTTAGCAGCTGAAGGTATGAGACAAACTACTCGATAAATAAAATGTCTATAAATTATAATAATTCTCATTTTAAAAATATTTTATAAAAGCATGGTAAGCAGTATAGATTTTAAAACAAACTTCTCACTAGATAATATGTCTCCCCACAATCTTATAAAATTTTCCTTTTAAGTGGTATTTTTCTATCACACAATAGGCCTAATGCATGTCTCCACTTCAACCATCCAACTTTAATTCTAATAATAACACCCCCATTTATATCACCATCACTTTGAAAAATAGATCTGAGATATCCAAAAAATTTACTCCTTTTAATGCTTTGATTACCCATTGTTACAACTATGCTACCATATCAACTACTGCTAAAATTACATTCCATGTATTCAATTTTAGATCAACTCAAATGAAGGCCTTTAGGCTCAACTGTAAATCTCCATAATTCAAGTTTATCCTAAACTCTTTTTCTAGGCTTATCCACAAGAATGATATCATCAGCGAAAGGCATACACCAAGGTACATCGTCTTGTAATTGTCCAGTAAGTGCATCCAAAACTAAAGCAAAAAGATACAGGCTTAAAGCCGATCCTTGATGTAATCCAACTGAAATGGGAAAATACTTGGTCAATCCTCCTTCTGTTCGAACACAAGTAACAACTCTAGTGTACATATTTGTAATGACTTGAATATAAATCATACCAACATCTTTCTTTTCTAGAACTCTTCAGAGAACTTTTCTTGGAATCTTATGGTATATAACTTCTATAGTAGACTTGCTCAACATAAATCCAATCTGATTACTAAAAGTCTTTGTATCACATCTTAGGCAATGTTCAACTACTATCTCTCATAATTTTAATGTATGACAAATTAACTTAATTTCTTTATAATTTGCACACTCTTGTGCATCCTTTTTGTTTTTAAAATTGGGATCAAAATACTCTGCTTCCACTCCTCAGACATTTTTTAAGTTTTTAAAATAATATTAAAAAGTTTAACAAGTAAATAAATTCTTAAATCTCTTAGATTTGTCCACACTTATATTGGGATATTATGGGGTCTTATCGAATTTTCACCCTTGATTTTCTTTAAAGCCTCATCAACTTTCTTTTTACCAATGCGACAATAAAAATAAATAGTTTTATTATAATTAATGATATTAAGATCACTAAGCTCGATCATATTTATAAAAATTTCTTCGAAAAGTTTATCAAAACATCTCTCTCATATGTTAACATCTTTATCTAAGAATTTTTTTTTGATTTGATTGAAACTAATGAAACTAATATTAGAATAAGATATTGGAATATAAGTACTCTCAATGGTAAATTAATAGATTTAGTTGATATTATAATTCATAGAAAAATTAATATCTTATGTAATCAAGAAACTAAATGGGTTGGAAAAAAGACTAAGGGGATTGATAATTTAAGTTTTAAACTTTGGTATTCTAGTAAGATTCACACTAGAAATGGTGCATGTGTAATTATAGATAAGAGTTTGAAAGATAATATTGTTAAAATTAATAGAGTTGGACATAAAATTATAGCCCTTACGATTATCATTGATACTAAGATTTTTAATATTATAAGCGCTTATGCTCCCCAAGTAGGTTTAGATACAGGGTCTAAAGATAAATTTTGGAATAACTTAGAAGACTTAATACAATTGATACCTCTTGAAGAACGTATTTTTATTGAAGGAGATTTAAATGGACATGTCGGTAGAGTAGTAGAAGATTTCAGAAATACTCATGGTGGCTACGATTTTGGAGTAACTAATGAAGAAGGTAGAGCTATTTTAGATTTTGCTTTAGCGTGTGATTTTGTTATTACTAATACTTTATTCAAGAAAAAGAGATGAACATCTTATTACTTATAAAAGTGGATCTAATAAAACACAAATTAATTATTTTTTTATGAGAAAAAGAGATCGTCGAGATTATAAAGATTGTAAAGTCATTCCTAGTGAAAATTTAAGTACGCAACATCGTTTATTGGTTCTAGATTTTAAGATGAAGAGTTGTAAAATAAAAAATACTAGGACTCATCATCCTAGAATTAGATGGAGAATCTAAAAAACACAAATAAAATTATTTTTATGAGTAAAATTCAAGATTTCAAAATTTGGGATGTTCATGAAGAAGCAAATATTTTTTGGGATAAAATAACAAACACTATTAAACTAGTAGCAAAAGATGTGCTTGGAGAATCAAAAGAAAAAATTTCTGCCACCTAATTCTCATCTCAGCAACACTTAACTTTGTTCTATGTTTTTTTTTTTTTTAAAAGCCACCATTTTGCACCATAGAGCATTGCAGTCTCACAACCATCTTATAAAATTTTCCTTTCAGCCTGAGCGGTACTTTCCTATCACACAATAGGCCAGATGCATTCTTTCACTTCAACCAAACAACAATTTTTTGATACAAATGAGACTGAAAAATTAGTCCCATTTCTTACAAATCAAAATTACGTTGGGCCTTCTTGACAAGCTTGGGTGAAAGATATATATGTATAAACTAACCAAATAATGGGAAAAAAAAGTAAAAATTTAATTCAAGTAATTAAAGATGAACATCAAAAAAATGATTTTCTTAGAGGAAGATATTCAATATAGAAGGGAGAGATATTTTGATAAACCTTTCAACGAAATTTGTGAAAATACGATCGGTTTTAGTGATCTTAATATCGTTAATAATAATAAAACGTTTCATTTTTTCCGTCGCATTAGTAAAAAAAAGAGTAGAACTAAAACTGAATACATGGAATGTAATTTTAGTAGTAATAGCTCTAGTAACATAAGTGTGACTTTGGGTGATCAAATTATTAAAAGGTGTGAACGATTTAGATATCTTGGGTCCATTGTTCAAAGCGATGGTGATATAGATGGGGATGTTAATAGTAGATTTCAAGTTGGTTGCCGAGATGAGAATGATTAGGTGAGTGCAAATTATAGAGGAATTAAGTTGATGTGTCATACTTTAAAGTTATGGGAGACGGTAATTGAACATAGGTTAAGACGTATGACGAAGATTTCTTATAAGGTTTGGTCACATTAAACGTCGACCATCTAATGTCCGATTAGGAGAGTAGATGTATTAGATTCTACTTGGGTTAAGAAAGGCAGAGGTGGACCTAGAAGGACTTGGGCTTATTTTATAAATTGGGCTTATTTGGGCTTATTTTATAAAAAAATGATCTTAATTTACTAGAACTAAATGAAAATATGACACTAAATAGGACACAATGGAGAAAAAAGATTCATGTAGCCGACCCCACGTAGTGGGATTAAGGCTTTGTTGTTGTTGTTGTTGTATTTTCATCTTTAAAACACTTACATTAAATTTTTTTTTCTTTTTGTTTAGCTAATTTATACATATAACTTTCACCCTTTTTTATTATTTAATATATTATAAAGATTAATAAAAACATATTTCTTAACATTACAAACTACTTTCGTAGACTAAATAAGGGTCACTTTATGTTTTCCCCATTCTCTATGCTTTTACGTTTAAACCAATTTTTATAACAAATTTTCTTATATTTTATATTTTTGCACATTATTAATCCACAATCAATTTTTATTGTTTATAAAAAAAATTTCTTTTGATTTTTTTAGTATATTTTTTCCCCTTTTTTGTTAGTTTATTCCACATAGAATGAGCTCCCCACGAACTTCCCAAATCTTGAAAACTTGAAGTTTATTTATAAAAATAATTTTATTTGTCATTATGCGCCACTTCTAATTTTATGACAACATTTCATTATATTTTTTATATTCTAACTCATCTTAAAATCCATAACTAATAATCGATGTTGAATAATTAAATTTTTCTTGAAATGACCTTATAATATTTATATTCCCGATGATATTTTTTTCTTATAAGAAAATAATCAATTTGTATCTTATTTGTCTTTTTTTGGGCCTTGGTCATCTCTTACTGTATTCAGATCATACAACATGTTGCTCAGGGTACGCCTTAGCATTTGCACAATAATTTAAGGGACTCGTGTTATGATTTTTTTTAGAAAAATTTTACACTGGCTGTCTACTACCTGACGTAACCCTCTACTTTTTCACATTCAGGGCTTGAGACCTGACAATGACAGTGTTAAATATAAATATTTAAATAATTTATAGCAGGAGTACAATATATGCTAATAATATAATTTATAATAATAAAAAGTTTATAATATAAATAAGTTTAAGATTAAAATTTTATTGCAATATTCCTTTGTTATGCAGTCCATTAATATTTTCAAAGTTCAACCCAATTCGTCATTTTTACATCCAACTAACTCCCTTGTGGTAGCCAAAAAAAAATTTTGTTCAGACTCCTAACATAGCTCTACATGCAGACTCCAATAATATGCCGTCACTTGTGCTACATCGCGGAGGTCATTTGGGGTTATTGAAGTAGAGTCGCGAAAGTTATTTTTGTATTATTTCTGGGTTATTGAAAAAGAACTCATAGATTCCACTTCAATAACCCAGACATAAATCAGAAATAACCTCCGCGGTTTCACTTCAATGACCCCCGAAATAACACCGCGAAGGTTATTTCTGGATTATTGAAGAGAAATCCACCACAGAGGTTATTCCGGGGTTATTTCTAGGTTATTTTTGGGTTATTGCGGAGTTCGCGGTTCCACTTTAATATTTTTTAGGTGGACCCGATATAACACACATGATGATATATTAGTGGTAGTCGCACGTAGAGCTACGTTAGGAGTCCGGGCAGAATATTTTTTCGTGGTAGCCTTCTGCCTTGCAAAGCTCGCCCATCTTTTATTCGCAACCTCTTTTGGCACCGTCTTATGGGTCACCTTCATCGGTGGCATCATCGTATTAAGTAACTATATTCTATTTAAAAGCCTTAAAATTCTACTTTGTTTTGTCCTAGGAAGAACCATGGGTTTTCGCTAAAACTTTTGTTTTCACATGTGCAGTCCACATCGGCTCCTATACGTTCGTAGCCTTGTTTTCTTTTCTAGCTTAGTGGGGAAAGGATGCAATCAGGGTTTGATAAATTTGATGGATTTTGATATCTGAAAACTACCATGATGGCTTTCTGAAGTGTCTTTTGGAATTCAAACTGATGATAATAAAAAAGGTATTCATGAATCTCCTAAAAGTATAACTAATAGTGTTAAAAATATTAAGGATTTTATTTTCTTTTATATTAAAAAAAGCTACAACTAATAGTGTTAAAAACATACAAAAAGATTTCTAGTCAAACAGTAGCAACGACTTTAACAGCAACAATTTTATATCACTGTTTTTAATGAAATTACTTTTAAAAGAACTTATATGAAAGGAGAAGCTCTTCCAAACAATGTCCTAAGTCACTTTGGTGGTGGGTATATAATGAATTAGTTTGATGAAACTCATATTAAATATTAGATTTAAGGTTTTTAAATTGAGGTGCAAGAATCATTTAGGGATGATTGGGAGAGGGAGTGTGTGAGGGCGAGCTACAGTGCAAAATGTCCAGAGTGGAGGAGAGATGCGAGGAAGAGAAAAAGTGTGTTTATGTTTGTTAGGGCAAGAGTTCATCCGCATCATGGGGACATTGTGGCTTTCATGGGACTAGATATATTTTTTTACTTCTATTTTTTTCTCTTTTTTAGTTTTTCAAGCAAAATCTGAGACAATTATGTTTTTGTATCAATGAAAATTTGGTGTAAACATTTTTGAGAAGAAGTTTAGAAAACAAAGTATAGTTTTTTTGTATATTGTATGAAGGCAAAGAGGTGCATTTAGCTGGAAGTTGAATTGTTGTGGAAGTACAAAGAAAAGGAGGTCTATCAACATGTTTAGATGATGTTCAAACAATTTTGCCGAATTCTAATCCAAACAGAAGTGCTTCTCTAAACATGAATAAATATGATAAAGGTTTCAAAATATTAAATTATTTGGGGTTGATTATGGTCTTCTGCTTGATAGTTTACTCAAATACATTCATATGTTCTAAGGAAAATAGAGCCATTGCTAAGTCATTATTTTATATTTTTATTCTTTAGTAAAATAAATAATTGAATATGAGTTTTATGCTTTGTTCCAGGATATGGCTAAAGTCACAGTTCACTTTGTTCGAGGGAACAATCCGGAAAAGTTTGCTTCTACCCTAGTCAACTTTTTGGGCAAGGTGTATCTCTCTTCCTTCCCCTCCCCAGCTCTCTCTCTCTCTATCTCTATCTGTGTGTGCGTGCAAGCGAAAGTACTCTCCTCCCCTCCACCAGTAGTGCCAGGATTTTCCTTCATCACACTAGTCTCCAAATTTGCCATTTAAAATTCTGAAAATCAGCAATACTTTAATTCATCAGTTCTTTTTTTTTAAGTATCGCAAATTATGTATTAACCGGCAAGCGACATGCATGCAAAATGATGATTTTGGTTACACAGATAATAGCCGTACGTGGAACTTATTTGAATGCATTATATTGAACTTAAAAATAGCAGTAATTGTAAAGGCATTTTTTTTTTCTGCCAATTCATATTTATGTGAGGATCAAGCAGAGCTAAAGACAAATATAATGACATTAATTTCTGCAAAAAATTGAATCCGAGCATTGCTAGAATCCATATTGATCTCTGTAATCATCTATGCTGTTTTTCACATAAAATTAGGAATTGTTATTTTTAAATTTTGTTTTTTATTCTTTGAATGCACTTTGAAAAATTTACTTAATAGGCGGACTTGTTCAAGTATAAACAAGATTTTTTTAGTAGGATTTTATTTTCAAATTGCTTCCCATGACATCATTCATAGAGATCAATTTACCATCCTGATCTGAAAATTTATCCCCATGGCTTTATACAACTCATGAATATCCTTATTTAATTTTTTTTTTCTTTTTATCTTTCTGTATTACATCATTTGAATATCTAGAAACTAAAGAATCATGGAATTATTCTTGTAGATCTAAGGCATGCACACATTAGCAGTAAATTGTCGTGAAGGATTCAAAATGCTGGTCCCAAATAGTTGGGACTCTCTAATCCCTCAATAACCACTGATTTATGGGTACTTGATCTTTTGGGCTGTAGCATTCAACAATTTTTTCAAACTTTCTTTTATGACTTCTGTTTTCCCAAGGAATGTAGCAATCGTCGATTTTGTTCTCCGGGCCTATAGCTTTAATGGCTTTTTTCTTTCTCCCATCCTTTATTTATGCTTGGGAAATTTACATGTGGCACACAATTCTTATGTATTTACATCGTGCACCTAAACTTTCATATTCGCACACATAGCACTTTTGTGCTTCATACCTATGCATGAAAAGATGTATTTCACTTTTAAAAAATGGTGATTGTGCTTTTTTAATGTGGTATTAAAGATCCGAGTGTTGTGTGTAAATATAAAAGTATAGGTGTGAGGTATCTATATACCTTAGAATTGTGTGCCGTTTATGTAAAAGCCCCTTTATGTTATCCCAAGGTTGTAGCAGTTGGGCAATCTCCTTTTTGTAGCTTTGTTCCTCCAAATTGTTGTAATCAACAATTTTTATCTTTGGTCATTTGATCGGCACTGTAGCACATGCAATTTCTTGCATACATTCGAACATTGAGAATCATTTTTAATTGGGAAGATATGGAAACTAAAGGATTTTGACGAATTTATTATTTTTTGTCTTTTATTGGCTATAAATAGGACCCTTGTGCTTAAGAAAAGTCATTGAAAATTGTGTATTGAATTGAAATTGTTAATTATTTAAATTATCGTTTGTTTTTTTGTTGGATATAAATTCTTTGTGTGCTAAGTTGGTCTTAACGACTGCTTTTGTGGGTGAGTGCCTTTATATCAACGTGAGGCTTGGATCTTCAGATTTAGTGATTTTTGATACCAGAGTTAACCCAATTCACAACTCAAATGGCACATATTTTATTGCTAAATTTAAACGATTACAATGATGACTTCTCAATATAAAAAAAACACAATACATGTAAACAATAAACAATAATAACAACTCAGAAAAGGAAACTAGACAAGGACAAAAACGACCCTCTCTAGCAGAGTGCAACATGTTCGACCAATGGAGGAAGCTGCTGGAGGACTGACTCGATTAGGGGTGTAATGAGCCGAACACGAGTGAGCTCAGGCTCAGCTCGTTTTAAGCTCGTTTATATTTCGAGCTCAAAAAGTGTGTTCATGTTCGACTCGTTTGCTTAACGAGCCGAACACGAGCTGTTCACGAACAAAGATTCGTTTTGGCAACCAAAATCACGTAGCCATAAGATGTTAAGGGTTTGAGCAAGATTTAAAAATTATTGTTTATATTAAAACATCATTTGCGTTTAATTTAATAATTTTCATTCTATTTTCTTAATTAATTGTTTTAATTGATTATAAATCTTTATAGCCTTGTAGTCAATTAAATTTTTTAAGAATACCTCAATTAAATTTTTTAAAAATACCACTCTTCAATATATATATATGTATATATATATATATAATTGATGAGTAGTATTTTGAGCCAAAACAAGCCGAACACGAACGAATAAATTTTTGTTCGTGTTGTTCATGTTCAGCTCGTTAACTTAGCGAACGTGCCGAACACGAGCTTCTTAACGAGCCGAACACGAGCTGTTTTGACAACCCTAAACTCGATGGCTAGCAGGAAGTGGTGGGGTGTTGTAAGGACAGCGGGAGGTCGTCGGTCTGTTGGAGGTGCTGGAAAGGTGATCGGTGGCCTACTGGAAGGAGCCTAGAAGGTGGACGACCAGTTGGGAGGTGTCGGGAAGGGAGTGCGGTGGTTGTTGAGAGAAGTATGAGGGATTTGCAGTCTGTTGGAAGATGCATGAGTGGCAGTGAGTGAGGAAGTCACGGGAAGGTGGAAGACTAGCTTGGAGGTGCCAGAAAGGGAGTTTGGTGACTGCCCAAGGGATCTACAAATGCAGGAGTGGTCGGCGATGGGTGAGAAAGGTGCGGGAAGGTGGACGCCTGGTTAGTAGGTGTTGGGAAGGGAGTGTGGCGGCTGCTCGGAGAAGCTGGCGGGATCTACGGTCTTTTGGGGAGTGCAAAGAGGTGGACGCTATGCGGGAAAATGCTGGAGGATGCCGCCGGCTGACTGGGAGACGTCGGCAAGGAGTGCGGTTGTTGCAAGGAGTGATGGTCATGATCTACGGCCTACTGGACGGAATGAGGAAGGTTGGCAGTGGATGGGAAGGTGCTGGAATGTGGATGGCAATAGGGTAGAGTAGAGGGAGCAGAGATGGCAGCACGTCGGGCTAGGTACAACCGGAACACCACTCACCGTTTGGATACATCTCTCGGAAGGGGGACGTCTTAGAGGCACAATTGAAATCAAAGATAAAACAAAAACTGATTAGCCCTTAGCAAACAACAATTATAAATAAGAGGGAATTAATGGATAAATTAGGCAAGAAATTAAGGAAGAAATTTGAAATGAAGCTTGTGTAGGAGCGATGGATTAGGAACAAAGATTGTGCAGGAAAAGCAGGGAAAGGAGGGGCGGAAACTTAATGAAGCCTGGTTGGTCCGGTCCAATAGGGATGCTAGACAGGTCTTCTGCCCAACCTTCCAGAGCTCAAGAGCCCTATGTCAATTTTTATATTTGTTTTTGCCAAGTAGTAGCTGTGTATGCATGGTTGAATGTTTGATAAGTATCATGTGTTTAAGATTCCTTTTTTTATTAATCGTGATCATTATTAAAATTTTATGTTTATTATTATTTTTATAGAATTTTAGGTTTGACAACAATAACAACAACAAGCTTTTATCCCACTAAGTGGGGTCGGCTACATGAATCCTTTATCTCCATTGCCTCATATTAAGTGTCATATTTTCATTTAATTCTATTATATTAAGATCATTTTTATACAATATGCCTAAGTTTTTTTAAGTCCAACCTCTTCCTTTCTTAACAAAAGTCGAATCCAAATATCTAATCTTCTAACTGAATCATCAGATGATCGACGTTTATATGACCAAACTATCTAAGACGCTCTCTCTAATCGTGTCCGCCAATTGAGTTACACCAACCCTATGATGAATATATTCATTTCTCATTTTGTCTCTAAGTGTCAAGTCACTCATCCACCTAAGCATTCTCATCTCAGCAACACTTAACTTTGTTTTATGTTTCTCTTTTAAAGACCAACGTTCTGCGCCATAGAACCTTGCAACTTGCTTTCTTAAGCTTCCTACGGGTCATCTTATGTTTTTCTCATTTCTATAAGCTTTACATTAAGCCAATTTTTATAGCACAAGTTCTTATATTTTATCTTTTTTTCATACATTATTATTCCATCACAAACTATTTTTATTTATAGAAACTTTTATTTTTTATTCTCCAAGTATATCTTTTGCCACTTGTTTAATAGTGTTTGTTACTTTATCTCACATAGAATTTGCTTCTTCACGAACATCCTAAATCTTGAAATCTTGAAGGTTTACTCATAAAAGTAATTTTATTTTTCTTTTAGGTGCCATAATCTAATTCTACGACAACGATTTATAGTATTATTTATCTTAGAACTCTTCATTTTAAATTCCATAACTAATAATCGATATCGAGTACTTAAATTTTCACTTGTAATGACCTTACAATTTTTATATTCTTGATGATCTCTTCTTGTCACAAGAAAATAATCAATTTATGTTTTATTAAATTCATTCTTATAGGCAATAAATTGCTCATCTCTTTTCTTAAATAAAGTATTAGAAATAACAAAAACACACGAAAGCAAAATCTAATATGTTTATACTTTCTTCATTAATTCTTCCAAAATCGTACCTACCATGAATATTTCTAAAATCTTCTACCACTTTACCAATATTAAGGACAATAATTCTATCTGAAGGACCCATTAATTTTTACAATATTATCTTTCAAACTCTTTTCTATAATTATACCTACACCATTTATAGTGCAATTCCTACATGAATACCAAAGTTTAAAATCCAAGATACTAATCTACTTAGCATTTTTTCCAACCCATTTAGTTTCTTGAACACATTAGATATTTATCTTCTTTTGAACCATAATATCAACTAATTTCATTAATTTACATGTGAAAAAACCTATATTTCAAGATCCTATCCTAATTTAGTTTCATGGACTAACTTTTTTAACCGCATTCGATCATATTATGAGAACCTTTGCTTATTTGACACTACACCCGGGCAAAATTTTAGGTTTGACAATTATTAAATTGTTATTTGGAATGCAAGAGATGTGCATGGTATTTTTACCTCAAAAGTGACTAATTTTGCTAAATTTAAAAGTTGGTAGCATGCATAATGTATTTATTTTGTTTGTTTTTTTTTGTCTCATCTTATATTGCATTAGTAAACTCTCGAACCTAAACCGCTCTACTTCGCAATGCTAATATTATGATCATCGCTAATGACATACTTTGTGTAGAAACATGTGGAAAATTTTATTGATATAGTTTTTCATTGATTCTAAAGTACTAGATAGATAAAAAAGATTATTCTATGGACGATAAAAATATTTGTCTAAACATAAATAACTAAAAAGAAAAAAAAATGTAATGATTTGAATATTTTTATTTAAATTTTTATTCATTTAATGATTTGTAAAAAAGGGAGGGAGCAATTCCATAGGGGCTACTATGCATTAAATATTTACTATCTCATGAGTAACCTTAATTGAAATTTCTATGACGTCACCTAGAAATATATTTAATCATAGGGCCTTGTGCCTATGAAAAACTTGCAAGTAGATTTTAAACGCATAATGAGAATAAAATCTCTGGGTAGTGTCTTATTTGAAATCTATTATGTATTTTAAAAATATGACATGGAACAAACTCTCTTAGAAACTATCTGCAAAGTCCATGAAGGTTTCCTTGTATCTTCCAATAATTGTCTTGTTTATCTTCTCTTGTAAAAATGATTTTGATCACTATTATAGCTTAAGAATTTATCAACATTGAAGTCTTTTTTGTCGCATCCCTTTTTTTGGCAATTTTTTATACATATATTTTTTTTAAAGTTCTATTCATTATGAAATTTATGAGCTTTTACATCCTTATATTAATTTTTACCTTCCATGTCTAATGCTTGATGTCTTTTTCATTTAATATGTGAGCTTCTTCTATAAAATAATCTTTCTTTCTTTTTCTATAAGTCAAACTTATTGAGCCATTAGATGAAGTTTTGTTCATTAAGTTTACGGCCCCAACAATATGAAGGACAAAGGTCTCTAATATGATCGGATTGTTGATTAGGGCCAACAAATCAAGACAAGTTGTGACGCGGGAGTACCCTGTGTCAGATGCGGGTGTGAGCCGTACGAAGCCTGCAAGCGCCGGAGAGAGGGAGACGGGCCGATCAATCCCAAATTTCTTTTTTTTTGGGGCCTTTATTTCCTATTATCCTTCATTCATTTTTAGTTCTTTTTATATATGTGTTGTATTAGGGTTTGAAAGAGAGTTTTGGTCGGTGGTGCTCTGGTTATAGCTCGTTCGAGGTGGTGACCTTCTTCCAAGGGTTGAGTGGTGCTCCGGCTGTAGCTCATTCCCGAGGGAGTATTTATCCTTGACCTTTCCTTCCTAGCACCCCTTGCTTTGCCATCACGGTTCTTTTCTCGCTGCAGCCGTCGTTTTTGTTATTACGTGCAATTCTCCCCTATCAAGCCGCTTCCCTTCCACAACCTTTGCTATCCGCCTTCCAAATAAGCCGACATCCCTCTCTTTTACTATTTCTGACAGCCCGCAGCCTTCCAGTCGCCCCATACCCGTTGCCATCACCATTCCAGCCCTCCATCCTCAGTGCCCTCGCTTTCCCAACCCTCTACCCCCGTTGTCACTGCCCGCAACGCCCTCCCTTCATTTTTTTTCTGCTGTCCAACTTCCCCAAACAACAAACTACAGTTGTTGGGACTGTCGTTCCTGCCTTGTTGTTCCAGGAGATCATAATCGTTTCCACCCCTCTTCAACAGCCCTGAAACCCTTCCCTACCTCGCCGCCATCTCTCCAAACCCCCTAACCGTCGCCACCATCACCCGGGATGCGCTCTAACATGAGTTTGCATGTTGTGTGCGTTTTAATTTTTCTTTTAAGTATATTTGAGTGTAACTGTCTATTTGCTTTCAATAATAATATTTACTTTCCTTTTCTTTTGGGTTAACTCCAGAATGTCTTCTCACAGTAGGTGATGAGACGAAAACAAGAAAGAGAAAATAAGAGAAAGAGCGAAACTTATTATTTTGATACTACGTAGAATATTTGTAGGCCCTATTGATTCAATTGTTCATGGATTCTAGACTACAAAATTATTATAAATAAAGATATCATCCACAAATTTCTCATGGACTACAAAGTTACTCTAAAAACAACTTAAAGAAAAGTCGACAAGGCTCTACATGAATATTTGAATTGGTATATTTAATACATTTAATGATACTCAAAGAAGAAGCAATTTCATGAATTGGTGAAGTAAATGAAACAATTTGAAACTTCTTGGATAGTGTATATCGACTACTTTATTATATTCTACATCTTGATGGAGTTAAATATCTTATTTATGTGAGGCTCATGTCTGTATGTATCTAAATTATTTATCATTTTATGCTTTTTGTGACATACTTAATTAACATCTTTTAACTTCATTTTCTACTAATAGTGCTATCCTGGAGAAGAAGATTTGGCAATCGCACGTGCAGTCTTGATGTAAGTTTTTCTATATTTTTAATAAGTATTGCAATCGCCAAACTTGTTTAATGGAATATCTAGTTATTGGGAAAGTGTCAACAGGGTCTTTTAATTCTTTGCAATGGAGTCATTTTAGTCCTAGAGTTTATAGAAGTGTCAATATAGTCCCCAAACTCTTTTAATATGGGTTGAAATCGTCCCCAATGAGGATTATTTTGGCCCTCATTAAAGAGTCCGGGCACTAATTTAGCACTTTTATAGAGTTTGGGACTAAAATGGCCTAATGTAAACAACCAGAGGACTATTTTGGCACTATACTCTCTATTTTCTACTATCCTTTATGGAAATTTTTAAAGATAACGTTTGTATTACTTGTATAATCTGAAACTCTTAATGATTTTATTTATATTTTTCTCATTAATTTACTAAAATTTTCTTATGTTATTTCTCTTTGGGACCATTTATGATTATTTTTATATCGAACTCCATGCTACCACATGTGGACGTAAGTTTGAGCATTTTCTTTCTTTCAGGTACTTGGCACAGGGGAACCTTAGAGATGCAAACAAACTCATGGGCGAGTTACGGAAGCAGTTGAAAGCGAAGAAGCAAACTCTTCCTAAGTCAGACTTAATGCAATTTGTTGTATATCTCTTGGAAACGTAAGTTCTTGACCCTATTGCCTCCTTTTTTGTAAGTTGTTTTTCTTGGAATTATGTAAATAACATATACTTCAAGACTTGAGTCGTGCTTAAGTCACCCTCGACTTGAGCTTGATTAATTAATTGAGTTAGAACTAGAGCTTGAGCTTAATTTTATGAGTTTGAGCTGGCTTGTTTATCATGGAAGAGATAACACAATATTAATTCTAGCCAGTGTTATTATAAAATGACAAATTCAATGAACAATTAGATGAAAATTAATTAGAAATCACTTAATGTAAATATAAAGTATCATTTTTAAAATTTTTCTAATAATATAAAGAAGCCTTGAATTTTAATTTATTTTTTTAGTATTTTTTATATTTTCATGCATATGACTCAATTTCTATGTATTTGTACATCTACCACCTAAACTTTAATTTATATAGTACGGATTTTTTAAACATTTCTATGCATTATATTAAGTATTTCAGTTTTTAAAAGTTAACATGGTAGTATTTTTTATATGATACGAAAGATTTGAGTAATTTAAATGTAAAAAACAAAGTTTAGGTGTTATATGTGTAAATACATAGGTATTGGGTGTTATGTATATAAATGTCCCTTAAATTCTTTGGGTCGTTATTTTTCTTGCTTTATCTACATTGTATTGTGCTTATTCTTGCCTTATCTACTTAAATAGCTGGAAGTTGTCTAATTTAAGGATTATAGAGCTCACAGATTTTCTTGTTGTAAGATGCTTAAAAAACATCAGATGCATTGAACTGGAATCTACCCAAAATATGCTTTAATGTAAGAGCATGTAATTTACTTATTTTTGCATGGAAGTGTGTTTTCCTGTGACTTGCGGTACATTTAAGAGTTGAGCGGTACTGACATTTTACAAATATGATTCCATATATTGCAGGCTAGAAAGAGATGCTTTGCCACTTTTCAGAATGTTAACGCAGAAGTACAAGCCAAGCATAGACCGCGAACGCCTGTTTGATGAGGTTCATTTTTTTGTTAATTTTTTTACCCTCAATGTAAAACCTTGTTGTTTATTTTTCTATTTTATCTGATTTTAGTGTTTAACATGAACAAATCACTCCCGTCTTAGCAATTTCGTAGATTTGCGTTTACCTGAATAAGTGAAAGGTCTTTCTCTTCTTCTTCATCTATCACCGCATCTCACTGTTGTAAATGCTTTGCCACTTCTTCATCTATCACCGCATCTTGCTGTTAGTGAAATTTTATGGTACATTTTGATTTCTGGATAAATTTATATGGGATATGTGGAAATTCACTGTTAATTACTTATTTATTTTTGATGGGTCAGCTTGCAATTTAATTATAGTTTTTTGTTCACTTGTGTACTTTAGTCTGATTGTCAGGAACACTGATCATAAGAAAATTGATCAAACTGCTCAATTTTTTTAATTTTCTTTTCTTTTTTGTTCATTTATTTTTAAGTTGGATCTTAAGTACAATAAGAAGGACAATAGTGTCTTTCATTTACTTTGGGTGCTTTATCAATGAACTTGGAGTTGTTGCCCTTGCTGTGTGCTGCTTGTTGATGAAGTGGTCCGAGCAACAGAGTGCTTGGTGCTCACTCTAAACCCTAAACCCTTCATGTATAATTGTAAATAATTATTTGCAGATTTTTTTTTAATAATTTCATTTATTGAGACCAGGCTTTCAACATTACATGAATACAACAGTATAGCATTTTCAACAAAAATGATATAGGGTGATCATACATCCATGGCATCTATTAAATATAAAATCTTTTCATAGTAAAGCTTAATGTTTTCACATAGAAGCTAGTCACATTTTTTCATGGCACGTGATATCAAAGCAAAAGTTTATGAAGAATTTGATGATAAATTTAGTGATTATGAAGTTTGTTGGCTAAAAAAAAAATTGAGCTTTGGAGAATAAAGATGTTCGGTGTTTAAGTCTATCAAGAACTTGGAAAGGCATTCACGGGTCATTCTAATATACTTGAGATCATAAGTCAAGGAGATAAAGGTAGGATGTATAAAAAACTCTTCGACAATTCAATTGTGTTTGGCTTATGAATTTTTGAAAAAAAATGTTGGAGAAAATAGTCATTGAAGGTTATTATTTTTATAGATGATTTTAAGAATTGAGTGCTATGCTAGAGTCTATATGAGTGATAGAAAGCCTGCCCCACAAACTCTATCAAAAGGAGAGACTCCTATGTTATGAATGTAGATATGAAAGTTTAGGTGTGAGATATGCAAATAGATTAGAATTATGTGTTATGTATGTAAATGCCTCTTAAAAAATTACTTATTTGAAAATATAATTACTAAGCCAGTGGGTTTTAAAAATAAATAATACGATAGGGATTGTAAGCTAGAGAAATATATTCTGAAGAGTGATCTACTTATAGTGATGACTAGAACAAGTCCATGGTAAGCTCATGTACATTACTTGCAAAGGTAGATTATTAGAAGTTGGCATAGTTTGAAGAGAAAGGAACAATATTCAAATGAAAGTTACAAGGGATTCATGCTATGCTTTACTTTTCTAAATGTGCATTCAAAGAGCTCTATAAGAGCGAAGTCAAGCTATGCACCGGCCCTATGTCTTGTGAAGCACAAGCTTGCAGCAAAGTGTGCTTGTTGTATTGCTTTGTCATATATGTTTGGTGCACTATTCACTCGGTTGGTACTCAGCAAAATCTCAGTTTGGGTTTCATGGCGTAATTCAACATATGCCACACTATGTAGACAACCGTTTACCTCTTCTCACCATTTCTTGTAGCTATTTTACCATTCTCATCTGTTTTTTGTTGTCCTATTAGATGTAGTCACTTTTTTTAGTTTTTTTCTTCACGCCTACTTGCCCGCTTGTTATTATACATTATTTGCTAGATCTTGTTGCTAGTGCTTCTGGCTCATTAGCTTAGTCTCAAGAATGCTTCTAAGTTTCTTATCTTCACATTCTCTCTCACTTCACACTATCTTCTCTTAGTTTTTAGCTGATTGATAAATCTCACCGGCCTTTTATTAATTTTATAGTATTCTTATTTCATTTCATTATTTATACTACTTATATTATTGTTTTTTTTTTCATTTTAATTGATTGTATCATTATATATGCTAAAAAGTCTTACCTAATGTGGTTTGAGTTTGATTAATTTGATAACTACTTTGCACATCACATATGAAATACACGCCATGAATATTGTTGCTAGTAAAAGTTGAGCTTTACTTTGCTTTTTAGTGAAATACCTGCAATGCAAAACGTTGGCCTTTAAAATATTAGCATAAAACTAAGTTAAGTGTTTCCAAGATGAGAATGCTTACTTGAGACAATGCAAAATGAATATATCCGTGATATGGTTGGTGTAGCTCCAGTGGCGGGCAAAATTAGGGAGAGTCATCTTGGATGGTTTGATCACATTAAATGCTGACTATTTGATGACCCGGTTACGAGAGTACATGTTTTAGATTCGACTTATGTTAAGAAAGACAATGTTAAACCTAGAGAGACTTGGGCATATTGTATAAAAAATGATCTTAATTTATTAGATTTAAATGAAAATATGACACTCAATAGGACACAATTGAGAAAAAAGGATTCATATAGCCGACCCCATTTAGTGGGTTAAAGGCTTATTGTTGTTGTTGTGCCAATGCTTCGTCCCATTAAACTGTTAAATGCCATATTTACGTACAACAGTCTGCCGTCCTTAAACAGCCATCAAAACATTATCTTAAAATAAAAAAAAGTAATCTACAGATTATTGATCATCTATACAAACATGGGACATATGAATTGGATGGTATGTATGTAAATGCCCCTTTTATTATTATTATTATTATTATTACTATTATTATTATTATTATTATTGTTTTTAATAGTTATTTTAAAGAAAAGTAAGAGGTATGCCTTCTGGATGATCTCAAGGCATGCTTTATGAAATCGTTAAAGGACATTTCTTATTTAAAGAGGATGAAAATGAAATAATTGAATCTTATGTTTAAATTCTTGTGCTTCTGTACTTGGAACTTTACTTCCACTCTTAAAATTGCTCAGTAATGCTTTGCTCGTCTCAACAATTAGGCTTCAGGGAATTTCTCCTATTTCTTGTGCGGCTATAAAACAACTTAACTTGCCTCTGATAACAAATCTATTCTCAATAGGCTCTATGATTCTTTTGAATTATTGAATCGATCCACCTACTCTTTCTCACAATTGCATCTCTATCATCCATGCGAAACAACTAGGGTTTTTCTAGGATAGCTTTCTGCTTGTTTTGCTTTTCAAACCACCACTATAATTTGTTTGATGAACTCTTTTTTTGTTGCTTTCTATAAATTTTTGTAGGGAGAAGCTGAGATTATAAGAAAGTTATTGTCTAATTTTTGAAAAAAAAAATTGTAGCTTTCTAAGAAGTTACTTTACCGATGACAATTTTACAATCACTTTTCCACAAAGTTGCAGCAATCCCAAACAAAAATAATTTTTGCTAGCTCCACTTGTTAACCACTTTTTGTGATGGCTATTTGTTAGGGTTAACATTTGGTAAACCTTATTCTTGTAGCTACTTGAAGATGTTGCTGAAAAGTTTTACGGCGTACGGCGGCAAATTGGTTTTCCTAGCATGTTTGGTGATATATTCAAGGTACAAAGATGTCTTACTTGGTCTAGTTAGCATCATCCATCGTGGTAGAGGGGTAATTTTAATCTTGAGCAGAGTATCTATCTTGTATCTCGTATTATTTGGAATCAATAGTAAGCTTGATGGTTGCGAAACCATCGGATATTATCAGAAATTTGCACTTACGCCAATTTGGGCGAGAGTAGTACAATATTGCTTTAGATATTTCGTAGATTTACCTACATACCATTCAATTCCTATGTATTTGCATAT